AATTCACAAAAACTTAAAAAAAAAAAAAGAAGAAGAAAAACAGAGAATGAAACTTGAAACCGAACGGAAACCGTTCACCGACAAAACTAAAGGGCAAAGGCGCTCACTGTTCACCGAGTCAGGCGTCCACCACCATCCATCGGTCTCGTCGATCGGCGGCGTCACAGACAGCAGGTCCGCAGCTTATTCTTTTATGATGTCACTTTAGTCGTCTTCGTCCTCTGTCGGTTTTCAATTTTGGAATTGGTTTTGTAGCTAATGGGTTGCAATTGCAAGCAAAACCCATATATCCATCATCCATGGACTGATGGACGGTGGACCAATAACCATGGTCAAATGACTTCTCCAGTCCAGCGACCATGGATTGGGCCCATTCATTGGGCCTTATTTTTTTTTTAAAAAAAAAAAGGCCCAAACAATAAGAAAGGAAAAAAATTTCAAGCCCACTGGCCAAGCCACCCAATCTTGGCAGCGGGCATCTTCTTCATTTCTTCCCGGTGGATGGTGACTAACCTGAAACTCCTGACGAATCCAGCACGGGCGACCGCGGGGGCTGGCCAGGTACTGGGTCCGCCCTTGCTAGAACACACATATACTACTCATTTATTCATCGATCATTTCTATCTATTTATATATGTGATTCTTCTCTAAGCTTATGCTTTTTAACGAGATAATTGACGTGGTATCATAGTCGGCTCACAAAAGACTTTAGTCCAAATTTTGATGAATTTCATTTATGAAAATTGCACACGTAATTTGGATAAAAAAATTGAATCCATTCATCAAGGAATATTGTATAAAAAAGAGACTTACATAAATACATGCCTTTCTAATTGCTCAAGTTTTTAATGAGATATTTACTGCACACTAATATTCGGCCCGTGATTGATGTAGATTAAAAATTGATAAAAATTTCAGGTCTAAATCAGCAATTAATTATCTTAACCACGCATATAAGATCCACAACTTTTGATAACACATTTTATCAACTTTTTTAAAAAATCTAGTCTAGAGCTTGTTTGGGAGAGATTT